CTTCTGAAGTTCAAATTTCAAAATAATTAAGTTATATTTCAGAAACTGTGAAGTCTGTGTTCGTGATAACAATATTTTTGAAAATTCAAAATATTTTACTGAAATTTCATACGAGCAACATGTATTCCAAATTATAAAAAATTTATTAGCGGCAGTACGAATGCAGGCAATGTACAATTATTGTCACATGATTTTTGAAAAATATTCTTACGGCGGTCACATCACACACTTGAAACGAGCAATTCTGTTGTTCTCTCATTTTTAAACGGGCAATTATTGTTCTCTCTTCTGTGTACCAAAAGTAAATCATTGATTTTTCAAATCCACAAGACTCCTCTGTTAAAAATTGGCATCACATGCATACAATGGTACCATTATTAACAAAAAAAAAAATTTTTTTTTTGGTGTTTTTGGTGATGTTTTTAAGATTTTGGCTTAAAATTTATGTAGTTAAAATATTGAGTCATTTTTATACTACATTATAGGCTTTTCTCATATAACAATATCACTCTATTCTATTATATATAGTTTATAATAAAATACATAATGTATTATAGAATGTATATAAATGATTTGTTGAATCATTTTTATCATCTCAATGCAGGCCAGTCGACATTTCAATAAAAATAATAATATTCTTAATAATATACATACATATACACAAACATTGTTCATTATTATAATAATGTATTAAAAGTATACGTGGGTAATTTTGTGCAATCATTTTAATGAGAAAAAATATTATAATAGTTGTTGTGTACCAGTATATATAAATGAGTAAGTGCCACTCTACACAATAAATTCTTATATATAAAATATTAAAACAATATTGTGTGAGTGCTTTTTATTCATTTATATTAATACATATATATTAAGTTTATATTACATAATAAGTTGTATTTATATGTTACTGCATTATTATAATGATAAAGGATAATTTTTGATGTGAAGAAAGAAAGAGAAAAATTTATAATAAAAAATTATTAAACTAATTTAGTTTTCTGTTAAAGGAGATATCCTTTTGTTCCAGTATTTTTTGTCATCATTGTTCTGGGGGTTGGATTTTTTTTTTTCAATTTAACAATCATTGTTAAAATGATGATATAATACGGATATTTTATCGGTAATTTCTTCTGCGGTTTGATTATTACAAAAATTTTATTTTATTGTATTCTTTTTGATTATTAATAATACGAGTACTTTTGTAAAATTGAGTTAATAAGATTAAATTTACTATAATTAATTATTAGAGATTTACTATACAATAATGAAGAATATTGAATAAAATTTTTCTGATGTTAGTTTGGAAATTTGGTACGTAAATGCGAGTATGCGTTTTGTATATGCCATTAATATAAAATGAGCCGATTATTTTTGTCAAAAAAAAAATTTTTTTTTTTGAATAAATTTTCCCATACCTAATAACTTTGAAACTAGTAAATTTTCTCTTGAAAATTTTTGTATTTGAGGTGTGATTTCTTATGATTTATGTATAACATTTTTACACTTTGAATATTATGAAAAATTAATATGTGATGCGTTAGTGATTTCAGTTTTCTATAGTGTAGACCAAAATAATCAATAATTTTCTGTAACCTTATTTCGTTAAAATTTGATCTTAATAAATAACTTCAACATTAATATTGATCCAACTATAATTAATATTCTTAAAAACTTAAAGTAATAATGTAATATGCCTGTACGTAAATTATATAAGTAGTCGGTTTCTATTAAATGCATCTCATACAGAAAGTATGCAATAAATCTTGAAATATTTTTATTATGAGCAATATCTCCTTAAAGTTCCTTAAAATTTCACTTTACTTGTAACACAACATACGACAATAAAAGCTCTGTATGTAGACACTATTATAAGAAGCTGCAGTACAATACAAAATTATAAAATTCTTAAACTTCTAATTATCCTCTTTCTTTTAAAATCTTTCGAAATACTGAATGAATCTTAAAAATTTTGTAACAAAGTTTCTCTATTAATTATGCGTTTATCTTAAAAATATTTTTTTTAAATACACCATATTATTTGACATTTAAATTAAAAGATTTTGAGTAGCACAGCACAACTTTACAAAATTTCTAAGTATTACAGTTAAATTACTATTTAAAAGCTTTAAAATTAATAAAGTAAATTTTTCATTTGTCTACAAAAATTAACATATATAATTAATATAATTAAAATTTTTTACTCCTTAAAAAGTCAAAATTCATTTAACTTCAAAAAATTTTTCTTTTACCTTCCATTTTTTTTGCCTTGCTCGTATACGTCATCTCAAAACAGTGCACTAATTTTAACTACCATGACTAACTGCATTAATCGTTTTTTGAGCAACATGCTAAAAAGGAAAATAATTATTCATATAAAATTTAATTAATAAGTTTTCTACTTAAAAGGATGTTAATTTTATAACTGTTATGTGAACACATGAGCATGTATTCAAGCATTATAAAAAGTAAAAAATTTATTAAAATAACTGAAAATATTAAAAATGAAAAAAAAATTTTTTTTCTTTACCTTTTAAAGTATTAAGTATAGAGAAAAGAAAGATAATCTTTTCTATAAAAAAAAATAATATTGTAAAAAAAAAACCTAAAGAAAATGAAACGAGACAAGAAGAAAAGTTTGTGCTTGTTCAAAGAAAGTGCAAAGTTCCGTTATATGTTTTTATAATTTGTTGCATAAAGAAAAGTAAGAAAATTTTACAATTAATTCAGGAAAACTCCAGGATAATACAACATAGAAAATGTCATTGTGTCGCAAAATACAAGATTCTTTCCGGATATTTTTATTTGTCTATTGCAATAAAATGAGAAAATTCTCATTGCATCAGTTTAAATTGTGAAAAACAGATGCGAATATTACCCTAGAATATAAAGTAAGTAGAAGGATATTTCATTCTTCTATATGCAGTTCCTTATAAAGATATGATAAATTATATTAAAAAATTTTTGGAAAAATATATTCAAGACTTACGGTTTATCTTAAATTAGTTTTCGTTTTGGAAAAACCAGTTTGGAAATTAATTTGTCTGTTTCAAATAGTGTGAAAAAATTCATAGATAACAACGTACGTTCTAATTCCATCGGTGACTATTAACCCTTTGCAATCGTATGTCACACTGTAGGTGACAATACTAATTTACTCTACAATTCGTATGTCACACTGGTGGTGACAATACTAATTTACTACTCTACAATTCGTATGTTACACTGGAGTTGGCAATACTAGTGTATATCTATAGACAATAGCGCTAAATAACTGTAAAATTCATTTCCGTTATTCGAGATCTTATGCAGTAATAATTTTTTAAATTTTGTTAGTCGAATGCAAGCCATGCACGGAATTAGTTCTCTTTATACAATTCCGTACACATATTATATTCCCCCTTAAAAATGGACTTCGAAGACTGAGAGGTTGATGATAGTGAATTAGAATTTGCTAATATTGACATGTGAGATGACAATATAAATTTTAGTCCGGGAAAAAAACGTAATGATTGTATGGTATGTTCCAAAAGAAAGTTGTAAGGCCGAAAGCAATACAATTCTGCGAAACATGCGAAAGACGTCCTTTTCTGCATGTTCGGAATTGTTTTAAAAAGTATCACACTGTAAAAGATTACAAAAAATAAAATATTGTATATTAATAATTAATGAAATAAATATAATATGTTGAATTCAATCACTGTAAATTACTTTAATTCATTTTGCTAAAAAAAATTACACGTTGACAACAATCTTGAAAATCAATCGAGGGCAAAGGGTTAATTTATTATTAACTATTAATTTTCTGTTAATTACAACACAAATAAATTCCAAAACATTATAAACTTATACACAGAATTAGAGTTCCGTTGAAATTAAATTTTGGGCTCCTTATAGAAAACTTGAGTGTTAAAGGATTTTAAAATATTTTATTGCAAAAGATTTCTAGTTTTCTTCTTTTTCCTTTTATTTGCACTTCATGTACACAAAGTTTTCTTGATCTCGCTATTTTAATTTTTTGTTGTATCATATGTGCATTAAGATGCGGTAACTGCGGAAATAAAGGAAATTGAATAAAAAGTAAATACAAAAAAAAAAACATTCGCTTTATGCGATGCGGTTTTTTTTCTGTATTTCTTTTGCGTTCTCCGTGTTTAAATAGAAGAAACGGCTGATAGTTTTAGTTATTTTTTCTATATATTATGTACGACGTGAATCCTTATTATTGCAGCTGTTAAAAGAAGGATTTAGTGTGCATCATCAACATGAAAAACTCAAAAATGAAACTTTTTAAGCTATGCAAGTTTTTTTTCTTACTATAACCAAAATTATATTTTTCTATCAAAAAGAAAATATTAAAAAAAAAATAAACTCTAAAGAGAAGCTTGGGAAAAAAAATTAAAACTCAGGAATTTATTTTTGAAAGTGAAACAAAAATTTTTACCAAAATGAAAAGTAGAATTTTAATAACAAAGAGTTACGGATTTTCTTACGTGTATGAGCCAAAAAAAAAACAAAGGCATGAGCACCTCATGTGTGAAATATTTGCGCTTCACATTATTTTGTGATATAAGAAAAATTTAGTTACTTCCCAAAAAATTTTACATATAACTAATATTTTCCACTTGATACTAAAGTCTTGTATTGTTTGTCTTAAGTTTAATTCTATACTTTTCCGTTATTGCCAAATGAATTTTAAATTTGAAACTTTTGGTAGAAGTTACGCTTTATTTTATTAAAAATTCACATTTAATGTGAAAATTAACTACTTATTAATTGTTAAAATGTGTAGGTTTTTATAAATTGGAGCAATGAAAAAGAAATAAAAATAGAGTGAAAGCCGCATGCCAAAAATTAATTAGCACAACTGAACCTCGTCCCCATGAAAAATATAATTCTACAATTTCAAATAAGAAAATGAATTATTAAAGCTCTTATATTATAATCTTTGAAAATTTTAACATTCAAAATTACATTAAAATTTTTTTTATTAATTTCAGACATAACGATTTACCTTGGAACATCAGAAAATTTGTAAAAAATCAACTAAGAGATTTTCGTTTTGGTGCTGATTTACGTGAAATATCTCCTTGGTCATCAAGTGCATGGAGTCATACCGATTTAAGACGATTAAAAGAAGGGATGGTTTCAGCACAGGTTTGTCACAATGTCAATTACATATGATAATTTTTTAGAGTTCGACTTATAAACATATTTATATATAGATAAATCTACAAATACATTTTATTTTAATTGGAATGAACTTTAAAATATAAAATTTTTTAGATTTTTCTTTATGATTCATAAATTTAAAGTGAAAATTGGACAATGAATTTTCCTAAATATCCTTAATTTCATTCAAAAATTTCATACAAAAATTTTTTATACTATAGAATTATAAAAATTAGAAAATATTATCCAATTTTGTTAGAATAGTTTATTTATTTAACAAAATTGATTCCGATATTCAAAATATAGTGTTTCCCTATAACCTAAAATTGGATTTTCCTATAATTTAACATCTCTTAAAACATCTGAATGTGACCCAATAAATATTAACCTTATTAGAATTTTAAATTATATTCCTTTTACTATGTTGTTGACCCCTCTTTTGGGTAAATTTTTAAATCATGTATTTTAATAGGAATTTATCCTGAAAATATAAGCATGTTAATCAAATTCTGTGTGAGGAAACAGAAAAACAAAAAAAAAAATAAATAATGAATAATTCATCATTTTACGAAATATTTGTTAAGATTTTCTAGTTACATAACTATGGTCAATATGGGCCCGTTTATTTGTATAACATTTTTTTGCCCCTTTTTTATAGGAATTTTTGAGTGATTTTAAGTATACTTAATGTCTACTTTTTTATATGTATAACATGATGATAAAATTTCGCACGACCCCCTACCTAGGCAAAAAGTTAAAAATTTTTAAAGTTTTGAACGACGCCCTAACTTTGGCAAAAAATTAAAAATTTTTTAAAATTTGGCACGACTCCCTACCTTGGCAAAAAATTAAGAATTTTTTAAAATTTTGCACGATCCCCTACCTTGGCAAAAAATTGAGAATTTTTTAAAATTTTGCACGACCCCCTTCATTGGCAAAAAATTAAAAATTTTTTAAAATTTTGCACCACCCCCTACCTAAGCAAAAAATTTAAAATTTTTTAAAATTTTGCACGACCCCTTACCTAGGCAAAAAATTAAAATTTTTTTAAAATTTTGCACGACCCCTTACCTAGGCAAAAAATTAAAATTTTTTTAAAATTTTGCACGACCCCCTACCGTGGCAAAAATTAAAAATATTTTAAAATTTTGCACGACCCCCTACCACGGCAAAAAATTGAAAATTTTTTAATATTTTGTGCGAACCCCTACCTTGGCAAAAAAATAAAAATTTTTGGAAATTTTGCACGACCCCCTACCAAGGCAAAAAATTAAAAATTTTTTAAAATTTTGCACGACCCCCTACATTGGCAAAAAATTAAAAATTTCTTTGAAATTTTGCACGACCCTCTACCTAAGCAAAAAATTTAAAATTTTTTAAAGTTTTGAACGACGCCCTAACTTTGGCAAAAAATTGAAAATTTTTTAAAATTTTGCACGACCCCCTACATTGGCAAAAAATTAAAAATTTCTTTGAAATTTTGCACGACCCTCTACCTAAGCAAAAAATTTAAAATTTTTTAAAGTTTTGAACGACGCCCTAACTTTGGCAAAAAATTGAAAATTTTTTAAAATTTTGCACGATCCCCTACCTTGGCAAAAAATTGAGAATTTTTTAAAATTTTGCACGACCCCCTTCATTGGCAAAAAATTAAAAATTTTTTAAAATTTTGCACCACCCCCTACCTAAGCAAAAAATTTAAAATTTTTTAAAATTTTGCACGACCCCTTACCTAGGCAAAAAATTAAAATTTTTTTAAAATTTTGCACGACCCCTTACCTAGGCAAAAAATTAAAATTTTTTTAAAATTTTGCACGACCCCCTACCGTGGCAAAAATTAAAAATATTTTAAAATTTTGCACGACCCCCTACCACGGCAAAAAATTGAAAATTTTTTAATATTTTGTGCGAACCCCTACCTTGGCAAAAAAATAAAAATTTTTGGAAATTTTGCACGACCCCTTACCTAGGCAAAAAATTAAAATTTTTTTAAAATTTTGCACGACCCCCTACCGTGGCAAAAATTAAAAATATTTTAAAATTTTGCACGACCCCCTACCACGGCAAAAAATTGAAAATTTTTTAATATTTTGTGCGAACCCCTACCTTGGCAAAAAAATAAAAATTTTTGGAAATTTTGCACGACCCCCTACCAAGGCAAAAAATTAAAAATTTTTTAAAATTTTGCACGACCCCCTACATTGGCAAAAAATTAAAAATTTTTTTGAAATTTTGCACGACCCTCTACCTAAGCAAAAAATTTAAAATTTTTTAAAGTTTTGAACGACGCCCTAACTTTGGCAAAAAATTGAAAATTTTTTAAAATTTTGCACGACCCCTTACCTAGGCAAAAAATTAAAATTTTTTTAAAATTTTGCACGACCCCTTACCTAGGCAAAAAATTAAAATTTTTTTAAAATTTTGCACGACCCCCTACCGTGGCAAAAATTAAAAATATTTTAAAATTTTGCACGACCCCCTACCACGGCAAAAAATTGAAAATTTTTTAATATTTTGTGCGAACCCCTACCTTGGCAAAAAAATAAAAATTTTTGGAAATTTTGCACGACCCCCTACCAAGGCAAAAAATTAAAAATTTTTTAAAATTTTGCACGACCCCCTACATTGGCAAAAAATTAAAAATTTCTTTGAAATTTTGCACGACCCTCTACCTAAGCAAAAAATTTAAAATTTTTTAAAGTTTTGAACGACGCCCTAACTTTGGCAAAAAATTGAAAATTTTTTAAAATTTTGCACGATCCCCTACCTTGGCAAAAAATTGAGAATTTTTTAAAATTTTGCACGACCCCCTTCATTGGCAAAAAATTAAAAATTTTTTAAAATTTTGCACCACCCCCTACCTAAGCAAAAAATTTAAAATTTTTTAAAATTTTGCACGACCCCTTACCTAGGCAAAAAATTAAAATTTTTTTAAAATTTTGCACGACCCCTTACCTAGGCAAAAAATTAAAATTTTTTTAAAATTTTGCACGACCCCCTACCGTGGCAAAAATTAAAAATATTTTAAAATTTTGCACGACCCCCTACCACGGCAAAAAATTGAAAATTTTTTAATATTTTGTGCGAACCCCTACCTTGGCAAAAAAATAAAAATTTTTGGAAATTTTGCACGACCCCTTACCTAGGCAAAAAATTAAAATTTTTTTAAAATTTTGCACGACCCCCTACCGTGGCAAAAATTAAAAATATTTTAAAATTTTGCACGACCCCCTACCACGGCAAAAAATTGAAAATTTTTTAATATTTTGTGCGAACCCCTACCTTGGCAAAAAAATAAAAATTTTTGGAAATTTTGCACGACCCCCTACCAAGGCAAAAAATTAAAAATTTTTTAAAATTTTGCACGACCCCCTACATTGGCAAAAAATTAAAAATTTTTTTGAAATTTTGCACGACCCTCTACCTAAGCAAAAAATTTAAAATTTTTTAAAGTTTTGAACGACGCCCTAACTTTGGCAAAAAATTGAAAATTTTTTAAAATTTTGCACGACCCCTTACCTAGGCAAAAAATTAAAATTTTTTTAAAATTTTGCACGACCCCTTACCTAGGCAAAAAATTAAAATTTTTTTAAAATTTTGCACGACCCCCTACCGTGGCAAAAATTAAAAATATTTTAAAATTTTGCACGACCCCCTACCACGGCAAAAAATTGAGAATTTTTTAAAATTTTTCACGACCCCCTACCTTGGCAAAAAATTAAAAATTTCTTAAAATTTTACACGACCCCCTACTTTGGCAAAAAATTGAGAATTTCTTAAAATTTTACACGACCCCCTACCTTGGCAAAAAATTGAAATTTTTTTAAAATTTTGCACGACCCTCTACCTAAGCAAAAAATTTAAAATTTTTTAAAGTTTTGAACGACGCCCTAACTTTGGCAAAAAATTAAAAATTTTTTGAAATTTTTCACGACCCCCTACCTTGGCAAAAAATTAAAAATTTTTTTGAAATTTTGCACGACCCTCTACCTAAGCAAAAAATTTAAAATTTTTTAAAGTTTTGAACGACGCCCTAACTTTGGCAAAAAATTGAAAATTTTTTAAAATTTTGCACGACCCCCTACCTTGGCATAAAATTGAGAATTTTTTTAATATTTCACGATCCCCTACCTTGGCAAAAAATTGAGAATTTTTTAAAATTTTTCACGACCCCCTACCTTGGCAAAAAATTAAAAATTTTTTGAAATTTTGCACGACCCCCTACTTTGGCAAAAAATTGAGAATTTCTTAAAATTTTACACGACCCCCTACCTTGGCAAAAAATTGAAATTTTTTTAAAATTTTGCACGACCCCCTTGGCAAAAAATTAAAATTTTTTTAAAATTTTGCACGACCCCCTACCTTGGCAAAAAATTTAAATTTTTGAAATTTTGCACGACCCCCGATGGATCGTGCTAGGTAAATGATATGATGACTGCTAAGACCGCAGCACAGCCCAAGAAGTAAAATCCAAAAAATTTCTGCCTGTAGTTCGCCAGCGGCAGACGTGAACATAGAAGGTGGGTCACCGCTGCTTTTATCTTTTCAGCAACTTCTACAAAAATCGTTTGCGAAGCAATCGATCTTCGTTGCACTTATCAGACAATGTCCCGTCAGAACGGATATTACAGCAACAATATCCTCTCGTCGGAAATGTATAACGTCCGTTGTGCGATACAAGTCTAGCTTTGGCCACAGCTTCCTAGTCGCGTTACATGTTATTCCATTTGGCCATTGGAGGTTGGTGACCTCCACAAATGCATTGCGTATCAGCATGGGTGTTTAGAGGCACGACCAGGTTTTCCTTTCCAAGTAGAATCCTGAGGATTGTTCCATGTCTCGCATGTTCGTCTGTCTTACTGTTCCTTTGGGGTCTGTTTAATGAAGTTTAAGTCCTAATAAATTAAAAATGGAACTAAAATTGCAAATATTAAATTTTCTGCTTATATGATCATATTTTATTAACTTATACAAATTATTAAGTC